ATGGTGCAATCTTGGGTCACTGCAACCTCCACCTTCTGGGTTCAAATGACTCTCCTGCCTCAGCCTCCCAAGTAGCTGAGATTACAGGCATGTGCCACCATGCCCAGCTAATTTCGTATCTTTAGTAGAGACGGGGTTTCACTATGTTGGTCAAGCTGATCTCGAGCTCCTGACCTCAGGTGATCCACCTGCCTCGGCCCTCCCAAAGTGCTGGGATTACAGGCAAGAGCCACTGTGCCCAGCCTATTTCCTGCATTTCTATGCTATGAAATACAACCTTCTATTCATAATGAGAGTTTAAGGCTGAAATTTAATCGCAGATGCCTGGAAGAGTTAACATATTATCCTCAAGAAAAATATGCTGCTAGTTTATTTTCATTCACCCATTTCATAATTATGTATGTGCACCTCCCGAGAGCTAGACACTGCATTCAACATTGAGTGTACGGCAGTGAGCCAAATGGATCTCGTCTCTGTTCTCTTGCTACCTTGGCCCTTACTAGTTTGAGAAGGGAAAGAATTTCTTAAGCATCTAATAAGGTCAGAAAGATTTCTTCTGTGAGATGAGGTGAGTAACGTAAAGTGAAATCTGGAGATCAGAAAAGACAAGCTTTTTGTAACTTCACCCAGATCGGCTCTTACCTATCTTCATCTTTGAGGCGGGGAAATAGCAGCTTCTGAAAAAAGTACTTCCTATTCTTGGCTACCAGGTACTCGCAGGTCTTTCATTTGTTAATTCCTTAGTGCCTGTTAGATGCCAGCTCGGTGCTGGGTAATGACTGAGAATCTAGAGGTGACAGATGGGTCTATTGTGAAGGAGCCTCATTCCCGCTCCCTTGTAAGCAGAGTGACCACATCACTTTATCATCCAAACTAGGGCATTTCTAAGAGTGTAGAATAAAAAGGCACTTCTTGCAGAGTGATATAAACATACCTCCTGTAGCTGTGCCTGCTACATCTTCTTCTTAGGGAATAACCTATCAAAAGTCAGTGCTACCTCTTGAAGGAGATTCTGATGCCTTTGTCAGCCAACTTGTGTCTCCTGTTTTTGGAGGGGTCAGTGCTGTAACTGTAGCCCCCAAGATGGGCAGAAAATATTGACAGACATTTTATATGGGTTACATGCCTTTCTGGAGAAAAAAATTCAGCACTGAATTTTTTTATTAGAATATACTTCTTGAAACGTATATTCTAATACTCAGGATTTAATGCAAACTAAAAGGATTACTAATCAAGAAAGTAAATACTTGTAAATAGTTGTACACTTATACCATGCAACAAATATTGAGATGCCTATAACAAGAATGTTCAAGCCATCTTCTCTGTGTGCTGTGGCAGGACTGGTCAGGCTTCAACTTAGTATACATATTTGATGTTTACTAACCTTTCATTTCACAATGACTCCACCAGCTGTATCTTGCAGGTCGCCTAGTGAGTCTCAGTTCAACTAGCCAGTACAGAAGAAATTAGAATTAGAAAAATTCTAATTTTTTATTAGAATATTTTTATATTCTAATAAAAAAATTTAGTGCTGAATTTTTTTCTCCACAAAGGCATGTAACCCATGTACTTCTTTCTGGCAAGGACATCAGCACTGAATATTTCTCCCACTACCACCCTAACCAGGAAAAGCTAACTAGCTACCCATGACACCCCTTATATTATCTGCAAGATCTCTGTATGTTGTCTTTCAAGGAGAGGTGTGACTTACCGTGGGTCTGAAAAGCAGGATGATGGCAGTGGCTGTGGGAGGGGTGGTGGAGGGAGGAAGTTATTGGGGTGATCTTTCAGATTTAATCATGTGTTAAAATGAGACCTTTGCTCAGCAAAATAAGAGTTAAAGCTGGAGGTAAGAAGTAAAATTCTGCCAAACCCATCCCAGCTTATTTTCTTGCAGCCATTAATAATTAACTTGTTTAAAAATTTAAAATACAAAACAAATGTTAAATTGAATATGACACTGGTACAAGAAACTTTTTTATGAAGCATTTGATTTTTTTTGTATTTCATGAGTTTTTTTCGCATTCCTAGAATTCTTCTCTTCTTCAACACTGATTGTGAAGTTTCTGTAAAAAAGTCCCTTTAAATATTTTACCTTCTTAGAGAAACTATATAAAACACTCAGCCAGTTTTCTTATACTTGATCCAAACCAATCCATCAAGAATGGTAGGAGGAGGAGGAGCAGGATAATATTATTTGGGGAAAAGTCTAAAGCAGTGCCACTTATAATGTGGTCCATGCACTGGCTTGAGCCATACTGCCAACCACATTATTAAGCACATTGTACAGTTCAGGTGACTTTTCTTCTTGGTAGCAAGACTTTCTCAATGAAGGAAGCAGTGGTTGACATACATTCTGGTGCACACTCCATACCTCACGTGGACGTGCAACGAATATTTTGGCAACTGGCTACTTTGAGTTTTCACTGGTCTAAGGCACAAAGAAGGTGATTTTCTAAAGTCTCATATTAAATATTATAAACAGGATTCCATTTCAGGTCCTTCATTTTTTTTTCTTTTAGTCTGTGGCCTAACCTAGAGTGAGGTTTTAGTTCACCTCCTTGAATTGATTTGATTTCTTATCATTCAGTAAGTGAATTCTTCTGTCTTACCCTGTACCTTTTACTGGCAGTTAAGCCTTTACTTTAAAGGCTTTGGAAGTTACTACACATTAAAAAAGAAAAGAAAAAGAAAATGATAAAGTAGATAGATATCCTTCTCCAGAGCCGTGCCACATAATATAAACAAAGGCTTGGCTCCTTCCTCCTCCACATGACTGGCCACATGTGTGAGAGCTCTTCTGCTTGGACAGCTGCCACCATGTGCTGGGCTCAACTTGAGGTTTCCCTGGGCTTTGTGCGAATGCCAGATGGCTCTGCCTCAGTTGGCTGCCTTGGCCCATAATTTAGGTAGCATTCCTCATATCAGTAGATTTACTGTCTTATTAATTTTAACATTTCCAAAGCTTTCCCAATCCAGAAGCTGCTAGGTTAAATCTCAAGCTGTGTATGTCCTATTAATAGGTGACTCTCAAAGCACCTCTCTATAAAATGGATCAAGGTAAAGTGAGAGTGACCATATGAAAAAGTTGATTCTGGTTAGTTACATTTTGCTTTTTCTTTTCCTTTGGCATAGTTCTTCAGACTGATTAGAACTTTTCTGGAATTCATGTTTCATATGACAAGATCATAAAGATAGCTTGAAGCTTATCTCCATAAGTGTTTGTGTTTTAATCAAGTGATTATGTGCATTAAAGGAGACACGAATTATTTCTGGTCTTATACATAGACTGTATTGCAGAACATTAGGCTGCTGTTTTAATTTGTAGTCCTAGCTGCATGTGAGCCTTCCCCCAACAGTGGTTGTGAGATTGTCATTAGATTCCTAGATTATTTTGCTTTATATGCATGTCGTCTTGTTAATATTCCCAGAATGTGCTCCTGGATGTAAGACTCTTCTCTTGGCATCCAGACATGTAGTATGGTAAATAAGACCTTCTTGCTGTAGACAGAAAAGGGCTGGGAAGACTTTGCTTTGTGCCTCTAGAAACCAAAGTCGGATGGATTCCCTGTGTCATATAATTTCTTCCCTCCGTGATGTGATTATTTCCTTCTCATTTCCTTTGTTTAATTATATTCAAACTCATGACCTACACAAAGTCCGTAGAAGAAAGTGGAAGTTTTTGAACTGCACAGGAAGCTCTAGCACACTTTCCAAGATGCAGAATGATGCTGCTTGAGCTATGCCTGATGCTTCTATGTATATGTTTTATTCATCTACTAGATGACCTACAAGAATGCCTGATAGGCACTCTGAGAACGTTTTACCTCTCGTATTAAGAAACACTTATGTTTCCCTAATAAAGACTTCTGTTTCTTTTTAGAAAGAGCCTTCTACCTAACTTAGCAAAAACATACTTGTATTTATGGAAATGCTTGCTTATATTGTCAGAAGATAGCCCTAAAAAGACTTCACCAAATATGCACATGGAAAGATGCTCTTTTAGAGAAACGCAAAGTAAAGCTACTGTAGGATGCCACAACAGAGTTATTAGAATGGCTAAAATTAAAGACTGACCACACTAAGTGTTAGCAAGTGTGTAAGTTCCAATATATAGACTCTCATATGCTGCTGGTGGGAATGTAAAAATGGTATAGTCACCCTGGAAAACATGTTGGCAGTTTCTTAAAAAATTAAAAATATTTCTATTATGTGATCCAGCCATTCCACTCCTGGGTATCTACCCAAGCGAAAAGAGAATGTGTATCTATGCAGAGTATGTATACATGAATGTTAATAACAGCTTTGTTTGTAACAGAAGAACTCAGAAACACTCAAATACTCATAATGAGGTGAATATATAAACAAACTGGTATAGCATACAATAGAATACTACTTAGCAATAAAAAGGAATAATTGATTCATTGATCAATGATTTATTGATCCATCATGGATTATGATTGTATTTTTTATTGATCAATAATTCATTCTTTTGACAAGTAAAATAATTATGATATGTGAGAGGAGCTAGATAAAATGAGTAGGTACTAGATGATTCTGCTTGTATAACATTTAGAAAGTGCAAATTAATCTATAGTGACAGAAAACAAATCAGTCGTTTCCTTGAGAAAGCAGAGGATCAGAAAGAGGAAGGTGGGAGGAATTATAGTTGGACACAGGAAAACTGATGGACCTGCTCATTATCTTAATTGTGGCGGTGGTTTCACAAGTGTGTACACATGTTCAAACTCACACTTGAAAAACATGCAGTTTGAAGTACGTCAGTTATACTTCAGCAAGGCTGTTAAGCAAACAAAAAGCCTCACCCCTAAGCTGTTTACATTAGTATAAGAAAAGATGTTAGGAAGTATTTAGGAAAGTGGTTGTTAATATTTCAAAGGACATGGTCCCACTTATAATCTGGTAAATGCCATGAAACCACTTTAGCAAAAATTAAACTGAGGAAATTATGTCAGTGGAAGAGATCAGAACTGACTCCATCGTGTTTCTAACCTTTAAGATGTCCTTGTTCATTCCTGTCAGTAGGCCAAATTAACTTTGGGAAGGAATTTAGTTCATAGTTTAACTCCGAAAATTTTGTTTCAGAGTTAACATCCTCTCCCCCGCAGCCCCCCAAAACCACCTCTTGCCTGGGAAACAGTCTGCCTTTGTAGGATTAACATACTAGTTACAAGATTAGAGATTATGGTTTAGGGACCTTGCAGCCTCTGCTGCAAGAGTCTGAACCTCCCCAAATTGCTCCTGGGAATAACATCACTATTGTAAAACCTAAGGTCAGTGCTTGAGATATTTTGCAGACCCTGCACTCAGTGCACCAGCTGGCATCACCCAGACTAGTAATCTGGCTCAACCAGTTGAGCAATCCCATCCAGAAACAGAAGACAGCAAGAAAACCTCAGTTTAACCCCCAATGATTCAATCTCCAACCCAACCAATTAGCACTCCCCATTTTCCAAAATTTTCCCCCTCCTCAAAATTATCCTTAAAAACTCCAACCCCAAATGCTCAAGGGGACAGTGAAACTCCAGTCTTCCACAAAGCCAACTCTGTGAATTACTTTTTCTCCATTGCAGTTCCCCTAGTCTTGATAAATTGGCTCTGTCTAGGCAGTGGGCAAGGTGAACCCGTTGGCAGTTACAGCCATATACCCTCTCCCCAGAAATGTGCACACGAAGTTTTGCCTACAGTTCAGATTCCCAGACTGAAAACCCCTAGTTAAGACACCTATAGAATTCTTCATCATTTTCAAAGAAACAAAGTACTTTTCAACAGCTGTGGCTGCCACACAGCAATCCCCTTTGTTTTTTCCAAAGCAGGTAAATTAATTCTTAGCTTCAACTCAGATGAATTTGGGGTATTCCTGGTAAACATGACTTTATTTCAGGTTTAGTCATTTTTCATACAGTATTTGTATTTCTACTTTCTTCATCTTCATTCTGAAGAGGAATTAAACTATAACCTTACTAGTACATCACTGCTGTAAGCTAAGTGAGGATACAATTTTATTGATTACACCACTTCATTGCTTTCAAGATGAGCAATAATAACATAATGATTATTGGACACTTCTCATTACCACACTGTCAGCCAGTTCATAAAACTGTACCTTAAACACATTAAAGGAAATTCAGGATCAAAATATCAATTTTATGGTTATGTTTTAAAGGACAGAGTCAGTATCAGCCAGGTTTGTTATGCCAAACTGAATCAGACATTTGCACTATGCCCAAGTAATACTAATAAACTGGAATTTACCTGAGCTGTAAGGAGAATGGCAGGTGTATTTCTCTGTTTTTTAAAAATTTCTCAGACATTCCTTCTTCTGTATGTAAATAAGACTAATATTCAAGTCTGTTTGACATTTTCATTTTAAAATATGCATACTCATTGTACCTGTAACATTCCTAGAATTGTAACCACCCAATGGGTTCTCTTTGCCCACTGCACAAATAAAGACCACAGCATTGCAGTAAAGAAAGAGTTTAATTGATATGAAGCTGGCCCTGTCATGCAGGGAAGAGTTATTACTCAAACCTGTCTCTCTGAAGGCTTGTAGGCTTGGGATTTTTCAAAGGCAGTTTGTTGGAAGGGATGTAGGTGGCTAGAAATGGGTGCCTGCTACTGATTGGTTGGGGCAGAGATAAAATCACGGGGGGTCAAACCTGTCCTCTTGAGCTCACTTGCTTCTGATTAGGGCCTTAAGGGCAGAGGTTGTCAGGTCCAGGTGGAGCCATGGATGTCAGACATGCAAAAAACCTCAAAATCTCAAAAAGCCAATATACAATAGTGATGTTATCTACAGGCATGGCTGGCAATCATTTATGTCTACACCTTACCAGAATTCAGGCTCCTCTCCTCCCTCTTGCCTGGTGTCTCTCATTACCTTTACAAAGGCGGTTGAGCTTTTGGGAAGGCCTGTTATCATCTAAACTATTAATATAACCTATTTTCCAAAGTTAGCTGGTCTAAGCCCAGGAAGAATTAAGGCAGCCTGAAAGCTAAAGGCAAGAAGAGGGGTTGGCTAGATCAGATCCCCCATTAATAATTTTTGCAAAGGCATTTTCAGAATTTCTTCTAACTACTGTTTTATCTCACAATCCAGACTTCTAAGTGAAATGCCAGGAAAAATTACATGTAGTATAGTCACTTCTTTTCATTATTATTTGCACTCTTATAAATTTGATCATGAGAAACATCTCCTAAGGTAACTATACTGTGTCCTTCCCTATGGGCAGAGTCTTATGGTTTCTCAGGAAAAGATAGAGAGGCACAGATTTGTATGCAGGCAATTTTTTAAGGAGTGCTTTCAAGATCAGTATCTGTGAGAGGATAAAGGAAGTAGAATTTGGCAGATAAATAATTGTGTTTGAACTGTAGCAAATGCTTCCTTTAGCAAAGAGAGGAATGAAGCTGACATGACTTTTAGGTTTGTCCTGCCTTAAAGCAGTGGGGCCTTTTTGCTATCATGACCAGTCATTCAGTACAGGCTGCCTTACGAGAGAGAGCATGAACTTAGCCAAGACAGCTCTCTGTGGCCATGGAGAATTCCCAAAAAAGAACTAAGCTAACAGTTACCAGCCACCAGTAATACCAGCAGATGGCAGAATAGTTGCCTCATTCCTGAAGAGAAGATCTGGGCAGCACACCACAGTATCCACTACGGTCCACCTTTTGCACTACTTGGATCCACCTTGGAATGGTTCTTCTGGATTGCTTGATCTTTTTTCCTGGGGGAAAATTATAAGAGGGAAAGTTAGTAGTGTGAGTTATAGTCCTTACACCTGGTCTTGAGGCCTCTCTGATACTCCTTCATCCCCATCATCTACATTCTATTGGAGATTTCCTCTTCCAGCCTCAGTGGTTTATGTGGTTGGGGTGGCCTAGCCTTAGGGTGGCCTGAAAAAACTGAATGAGAAATGCTCAGCCTTTTAACTCACGTTTGCCTAGGATATGATACCAAATACCTATTTGAGGTGAGCCAAGAGTAATTATTTGAATTTTGTCTTTTCCATGATGAGTCATGGAATGCAGAACTTTTAATAACAAAATCTTTAAAGACTCAGGAAGGACAGGGTGGCCATCCTGGTTCTCCATGAGTCCATGCTTAATTAACATTAGACATATTAACTTTTGAATACAAGTTGTTTCTCCAAATTGGGTGCTTAGCACTGATAGCTGTTGGGTTATCATAGGTAATTTGACTTAGACCATGGAGTTCATTCAAATTGTATATCTAAACAATTTCAATATCAGCTGATTTAGTATGAAAATCAATTTTTGTTCTACTTGAGTTAGCAGTTTTATAATCTAGTCAGTCTTTTCATTAAAGTTCCAGGAATTCTTACCTAGTTGAAATGATGTGATTCTAAAGTTATTAGAAACCTGTATTCAAGAGAGCTTTTAGGGTCCTTTCCATCTTTTCCTGAACCTCCTAAAAGACACTATACTCTAGCATTTTACATGCTTGTGAAGTTTTCACAAACTGCATCAGCATTAAGCACTTAACCATAGAAATGACTTTAAATAGTTATAGTTAAAAACACAATTGACAAGGAAATTTAGTTATTTCTGTGGTCTGCAATAACAACATAATAACCATAATTATGATTGGTAGCATATACTCAGACATATTAGAATTTTTAAAATCCCATACAATTTTGACACATATTAATGTCACTCACTAAAATATAACCTGAAGAAGATTAAACTTTTTTTTAAATTTACAACAGTGCTTCCCATGTAACTAAACATGTTAAATAATTGTTTGCCTTTCATTTAGATGCTTCAGAGGCCCTGTATAGCATCTCAGAGTTAGAGGTCAGAAAAGATAATTTTGAAGCTGAAATTTGATTTTGGAAAGACTGTCAAATATGTTAAAGGTTCAAAACACTTGATATTATGAAATATAATTCCAGATTACCATAGGTCATTCATTTAGCCAAAATGGTGACTCAAAAAAATTTTAAAGGCAAAAACTTTACTCATTGATAAAGGGAAGACTTAGATTTTCAAACAATTTGTCTCTTGTCTTTGCCTTCTTTTTTTTTAGTAGTTTATTCAAAAGGCAAACAAAAATCTTTTATTATCTTTTAAAATTACATGAAAATTTATTTGAGAGAAAGCCAGATTTTACCCTTGTGTTAATGTACTGCAAATGTCCACCCCAATTTTTAATAAAACATTATAGACAAATCCTTCCAATCTTAATCAGTTTAACTATAAGGTGAGATTCTCATAAACCTTATATAAGCCTTTACAAGTTTTTGTTAAAGAGCAGATTAGTGCTTTAAGAAAACCCTGTTTGTGCTTTTATTTCAATGCTCAATTTATGGAAAAACTGGAAAATATACCTTTAAATTTAGTCAAAATATTCACACATAATTTTTTTACAAGATTAATTTTTATAAACCTTCCACAACTGTTCAAACCTTTAGCTTATTTTTATTTAAAACAATCCTTTAACCCTCTAAATTAGGCAAAATTTATATTCCCATGCTGTCTTACAATCTTTTACCAAAAACAAATTTTATTCTCCTCACACACCTTGCATGTAAAATTATTTTTTCAGTAGTCTCAGTCACATGTTATAATGGTAAGTCCAGCAACTTTTACTTTTGATGCATAATTTTTTTCAGAAATCTTTTCACAACTTACATAGACCATGCTTGGACTGTTTGACTTGTTCTGAATACCCCTCTTTTTAAACAACCAGTTATTTTACTTTAGGATAAGAATTTACCACACAAGATCCTTTCTTATATAATATCCATTTTCTTTATAACCTTCTTTGCATTGCTGGGGGCCTGGCTAATTCTGCATGTCCCTAGGCCTTATCTAAAATCTATTACTCCAAAATAGGTAAATTGAACAACTTTCATATGACCTTAAAGCATTTAGCAAACCTAACATCTGACCTGCCTAATTTAGTCCAAATGTCTTTATTTTACCAATAATCTTTAAAGCTGTTTTTATTTCCCAAGGATTACTAAAGTTACATGAACCAAGGCATTACATTTTTACTTTTCTGACAAAATATTTAAGCACTTATGTTTAAGCTAATTAACTAGAGCTCTTTTATACAACATTACACACACAACACATATATAACTACACAGACAGACAGACAGACAGACAAAAAGAAGATCCAGTAGTTGTAAGAATTTTTTTATTTGTCAGTTTTTGTTGTAATTGGATTACTGGCTTTAGGGTGGAGTCCTTGGAAGAACAGGGCTAGGAAAGCATGCAGTTCCTAAGGCCTAATAAGCAGGCACAGCTAGAAGGTAAAATGGATACCCCCAAATTAAGGGTCCCACTTTTATACCAGATCCTGGATCCCCAAAAGACCAGAGCCTTAGATTTTGAGGAGGATTTATCCATGGAACCCCAATTCCTGGGGTTCCATGAGGAAAACAGGTTTTTTTTCCAAATGGGGTCTCTGACACCTCCTGTTTTTCCCGAGGAGTTCCAGGGTATTAGAGCTTCAATATCTACTTTGTTATTAAGCTGACTTTTATATATAGTGCTTTAAAAATGAAAAAGTCCTTTTAAATCTTTTATTACCCAACCCTGGCTAGGCCCAATAGCCAATATTTCTGTGGTCAGAGAAAGGAAAGTTTAAGATGGTTCATGGAGGGGAAGAAAATTAACAAATGATAAAGGTCATATGGTTATCAAACCAGAAAGTACTCATTCCCCAACCAAGGAATTGAACCCTGAACCTGAGGCATCATTGAGAAAAGAGAAAGCAAGGCCACATGGTTACAGGTCAAACTTCTAAGGACATAACTGGCCAGTTTGCTGGGCTGTCTTGAACAGCAGGCTTATGGGGTCCTAGACACACGTTTTATCCTAAGATACCTCTCTTCATGGCAGAACAATACAGAAAGACACACAAAGCATACCAGATTTATTACAGCTCAAGATCAGCCTCATATTTCTTTTTTTGTAGTCATTAAAACTTTACAGAGAGATAAACAGTGACTTTTACCATTGACTTACCCAGTTTGTACACAAAGAGGCCAGAGTCTAACTGGTAAGAAATTCTTGCCCTTTTGCTATCATGCCAGGCTTCTTGGTTCCCTTTCCCTGAGCAGCCCTAGTGACCCTGCTTGCCACACTGCAGCCCTGGGGACCAAGCCACATCATAAAGGAAAATCATCTTTTTGTTGTTACTGTTTCATCAACCATAGTCAAAAACCTCTCAATTTTGCAAGTTGCTGCCCAAGGGGTTGCAGGGGTAACCCAATTAACATTTTTCCATCTGGCCAGAGCAAAATACATGGGGCAAAACACATTAGCCATTCTGCCTAGAACCCAGTATTGAACTGGCAAGGCTCAGACTTGCCCCCAGTGGAGCCCCGTTATCTTTAAGCCATTTTAACCAAGAGAGATTTTACTGAGGAGAGGGCCTCTAACTCAACCCCATCCTTTACTCAGGTAAGATGTACCCCATTACTTATCCAGTGTCAGCCAATAGGTGCTGCAGTCTTTTTCCTTTGGATTGGGATAGTAACTAAGCTGAAAGATTAGCAGATTTAATTTTTCATTTTTAAATACACTTCTATGCATTGTTGTTTATTCACTCTTAGTTATTCCACTCTTAGTTACCTTTAGTAAGAGTTTGCCATTTCTATAAGACTCCACTGCTTTCTGTGCCTAATGTATAAGCCTGAAGGAACTCAGTTTTTCAGAAATTAAGGGTCACATTTTTACCTAAAATATTGGCTTTACTCTTGGGTTCCCTTGATTAACTTAGCCAATAATTTTTTTCCTATGTGCGCAAGAAAAATGAAACAAAGGGGTAGAATACAAAAATCCCTGCAAATTTTTAAAAGTCAAATTTTATACCCCTAAAATATTATCATTTGCTACCAGTTTCCTTCTGACCTAGTCAGATGTTAAGAGGCCTCTAACTTGATCCAGGCCAGTCAGTTACCAGATTAAATCCATTCCTGGACCCAATTCAATTTCTGTCATGAATTCTAAACCCAGTTTGGATCAGAAATTTGCTCAAAGAAATTCTGAGTGCTCAAAACACAAATCCATGGATCTCCAAAATCCAAGAGAGAACTTACCCATTATCCCCAGATGCTCTGAGAGATCAGTGGATTCAAGTGGGTCCTGCAGGTACCTTGCATGCGTTCAGTGTTCATGGGGTAATTAGAAGCTTTTCTTCAGGTCCCACTTCTGACAACATCTGTTAAAAACTTTAACCAAATTAAATTTGAAGGAGTTTAACTGAGCAATGAATGATTTGCAAGTTGGTCAGCCACCAGAATCACAGCAGATTCAGAGAGACTCCAGGGGTGCCTTATGGTCAGACAAATTTATGGTCAAAAAAGTAAAGTAATGTACAGAAATTGGAAGTGAGATAGAGAAACAACTGGATTGGCTGCAGCTCGACACCTGCCTTATTTGAGCACAGTTTGAATGCTCAGCAGTGTGTGACTGGTTGAAGTACTGCTGCTGAGATTGTCCAGGACTCAGTGATTGTTATAGGTGCATACTCCTAAATTAGGTTTTCAGTCTTGTCTACCTATTTCGTTAGGTTATACACAAGGATATATTATTTACCTATTTCGTTAGATTATACACGATATATATTTCGCAGTTCATACACGAGGATTCAAATATAGAAGTACAGAGTTCTTCTCAAGCCATATTTAGTTTGCTTTAACAGGGCAAACAAATGGGATTATTGTTTAGGAGACATATTTGTAGAAACTTTCCAAAACAGGAATAATTCTTTTTTCAGAAAGTCTTAATTTGGGGTTCTCAGAGTCTCAGAATCCTCTAAATTGTATCAAACTTCTGTGTGCATGTGTCTGGGGAGAGGGCCTAGAGGATATTTATCAACTACAGTGAACTAGACATTGTACTACACACTGGTATCACAAAAATTCATTTTTCCATTTATTTCATGTATTCAACACAGATTGATATCCATCTATGTCAGGCACTGACAACATCGAACAAAACAGAGTTCCAGTATTCATTGGTGCTCATTTTCTGGGTATGTGGAGTAGGTGAAGGGCCTCATCCAAAAATAATGTATAAATATCTAGCATGTTAGGTGGCGATAAATGCTATGAGAAAGAAAAATTCTGAGTAAAGAGAGTGTGAGGGGTTGCTAGGGGGTGTTAATAGGGTAGCCAGGGACATTTGAGCAGAAACTGAAAGGAAGGGAGGGAGGCAGTCATGGAGGTCATGGAGGAAGAACATTTCTAGGAGACGGAATGGCAGATACAGAGGTTCTGGGTGAGCCCCTGCCCTAAATGCTCCAGGGTCAGCATGGAGGCTATTGTGGCTGGAGCAGGAGCAGCAAGAGAGAGAGTGGTGAGGGATGAGGGCAGAGAAAGAGCAAGAGGCCTTATCAGGTGGGCTTTGTAGACCATTGCAGAGACCATGGCTTTACTCTGAGCTGGAAGGCCAACTGAGGGTTTTGAATAGAAAAGTCACATGGTTGGCCAGGTGCAGTGGCTCACACCTGTAATCCCAGCACTTTAGGAGGCCGAGGTGGGTGTATCACAAGGCCAGGAGTTCGAGACCAGCCTGACGAACATGGTGAAACCCCGTCTCTAATAAAAATACAAAAATTAGGCAGGCATGGTGGCACATGCCTGTAATCCCAGCTACTCAGGAGGATGAGGCAGGAGAATTGCTTGAACCCTGGGGGCAGAAGTTGTGGTGAGCCAAGATCGTGCCACTGCACTCCAGCCTGGGCAAGAGAGCGAGACTCTGTCTCAAAAATAAATAAATAAATAAAGTCACATGGTCTTTCTACATGTTAGAAGCCTCCCCTGCCCACTGGGTGAAGGCTAGGCCATTGAGGGACCAGGGTGGAAGCAGAGAGACCACAGGCTACTGACAAGTCTAGTGGCAAGTTGGTGGTAGCCTCAGTTGGAGAGCAGCAGTGGAGGTGGTGAGAAGTCATCGGTTTCTGCATATGTAGTTGTATTTTAAAGATGCATGTTTTACAAAGATGAATGAGATTTTGTCTAGGTTTTCAGAGTTTGAATCTAATGGGGATATCAGATCTGTAACAGATTATTTCAATACACAATGGTAAGAGCAGGGGCAGAGAGCTGGACAGGGAGGAGTTATGGAGCCTTTCCTAGGAAGATTCAGGGTAGGAAATGGCAAAAGATAATAAGCTGGAGTGGTTGGCCAAGGCCAGACCATGTAGGGTCTCACTGACCATCTTAAAAATTTGGACTTTATCCCGAAGTTAATGGGAGCCATTAAACAGCATTGTTCAAGGAGGTAACACACTCCAGTTCTCAATCTACGTTCTCCAGTAACTCGGGTGAGTGTGAGAAAGAGGGCTCTGAGGAGGTAAGGCTGAAGGCAAGGAAACCAGATAAGATATTGCAGTCGTCCAGGGCAGAGAGGAATAATTTATTAATCACTTGCTATACATCAAGCATTATTCTAAGCACACTATATATGTTAGTTAATCCTCAAAACAAACCCTATAGGGTAGGCACCATTAATATTTTCATTTCACCAGTGACCAATGCATGGCCTTGAGCACAAAGAGGAGGCTAAGTAAACTTCGTTCAGGTTTATGTAGGTCACACAGTTGTGAGCAGGAAGATTTCAAGCCTGGTACCCTGGCTCAGGAATTCAGGTTCTTCTACACTGTGCTACAATGCATCTCATGAAGATAAGAGCCTGGAGATTTAGGGGAAATAATGGGGTGAATCTTTTATTTTGTCCCAAACTGAGTAAGTTTTTTGTATGTGTCACTGTATTTTAAAGAAATCTAATTAGAATAAAATTTTAATTTTATATTAGTGTTCCAGCAATATCCATAAGAAACCTACCCTCATACCATCTCCTTTTCTCCTTACTTAGAGCTTGGATTCTCTCTTTCTCAAGGTATCTCTTTGGATAAAACAATATTTTGAAGTCATCACCTTGTTAAGTAACCCAAGACCATGCTTTTGTCTAATGTTAGCAATTTCTTACTATTGGAAGTAGTACCTTAGACTCAGTGTTCATCTTTTCCTCATAGCTTGTGTTTGGAAACAGCTAGAATTAAGTGAATTAACTCACTGTCACCAGAACATGGGAGTATTGTGAAATAAGCTGGTATCTTGAGAAAAAGTGTATCTTTTGGCTAATTTCTCAGAATATAGACATAGACTGTAAATAGTCATTATATAACTTATTTTTCTGTCAAAATGTAAAAATTTTCACAAATAACTTAAAACGTAACTACCATTTAACCCAACAATCCCATGACTTGGTATGTATCCAAAAGGAAATAAATTGTGCTACCAAAAAGACGCATGCATGCGTATGTGCATCACAGCACTATTCACAATAGCAGAGACATCAAATCAACCCAGGTGCCTATCAACAGTGAATTGGGTAAAGAAAATGTGGTACATATACAGCATGGAATACTACACAGCCATGAAACAGAGAAACTGTGACATTTGCAGCTACATCGATGCACCTGAAGGCCATTATCCTAATGAATTAATGCAGGGACTGAAAACCAAATACCACGTTTTCACTTGTGAGAGCTAAACATTGAATGCACATGGATACAAAGAAGGGACAGACACCAGGACTGACTTGAGTGGGGAAGGAGAGAGAGAGGCAAGGGTTGAAAAATTGTTGGGTACTATGCTCAGTTCTTGGGTAACAGGATCAGTTATACCCCAGACCTCAACATTACACAATATACCTAGGTAATAAACCTGCACATGAACCCCTGAATCTGAAATAAAAGTTGAAATTATTTTTAAAAAATTTGGAGAATTTGAGTAGTGCAGGGAATGTATGTAGAAAACAGTGTCTGGAGTATGCCTGACTTAGTTTGCAAAAAGTATTGGCTCTGCTGCCTTGCCTCCAGTGGATTGCACCCAGGATGATCTTATTTCCTTCTCTGTTTATATTCAGGGAAGTACTGAGCATCAGCGTCTTTTCCATGTGGCTGTTAATGATATCGTTATAGTTTCGTAAAGAACAATACTTACCATACCTTAGGCCAAATGTTCTCCAAAAATAAAAGTAAATAGAAACTTTCAGTCCTGACAGGTATTCAAGCCTCTAAAGTATTATACAGAGAAACCAAAAAAATAGAAAAAAATTAATTGTTCGCCCAAAGATGTCCTATAGCCCCAGTGACAGGGCTTGAGGGCCACAGTCCCTGGGGCCTCAGTGCATATTATTGGTGTCCCTGTTTGCCCAAGTGACAGAGAAAGATGGGCTGGGAAGGGAGGGACTAGCTCGAAGATAGCATAGTGTCTGCAGCAGAAACCAAGGGGCATGAGTTTTGTTTGGGAAAGCTGGGAGGGATTTGAAATGAGTCAATGGCTACTGAGCAAGCAGGCTTCAGAAGCCCCATATTTTCTAGAAACTTGAGTGCCTTACAACACAAAGGTCAGTGTTCTCAGCATAGGCTCAGGCAGCTCTAAAGCAACAGCTAGCCCTACCTATCCCTCCCTTCTCAGCTTATATTCCAGATAAGGAGCATTTTTATTTTTGAAATCCAGGTGCACAGTCAGGAGAAGGGAGGAAACAGTGACACCCATCTTTTTAATGAGCATTGCTACTGGAAAAGAAATTAGCATCACCCTAAATTTTATGTGATGTCAGTTAAATGAAGGTGTTTTATAGCACTTTACAACAAATTAGAATCAACCAAATTGAAAATAAGCCTGGCAGCTGGGATAAGTAATCAGGTAAGTGGCCAGTTTTGCTATTTTTGCTTTGAGCTGAAGACAGAATTTGAATTTTTAATGTCCCAGAGATGTGAGAATCACAACTGGGGAGCGTGGTTTCTGGGATGATTGTTTAAGATGTAGGCAGCTCCATCTTGCCCTTCAGTCTCCAACTTGCTTGACATATTCCCTGGAAATTGGCCCTCGTATATATACGTGTACACCAGAGAGAGTGTTGTGAATTAGTGTAGGCTAGAGCTCTGCTTTTGGCTGAACATTAGCGAGCAGACTGGAAATAGATGACCCAGAACAAGGCAGTAAATCATCCACATTAACCGAGAAACTCTAATAAAAGGACTGAAATTTATATGAAGAATTTATGGCCACTCATGAAATCAGCCCAAATCAGAGAAACTATTAGAATACTTTTATGTTTTAAGAAAATGGGTACTGTGTTCATTTGCTGTAATTTGCATATAGTCAGAACGCCCTGACATGATAAATACTGGCTTTGGTGGACAGGGTTTTAT